TTTCGAAATATGTCAGTCCCACCGGAAACAAAAACGACAACTTCCGGTTAGAAGAGGAAAACTGCATAATTTGAGTATTTTACTTTCCCTTAAATATCTTTTATAGATAAAGTATTTGAAAAGATTTTTAGATATGTTATTCAGACTGCAAATGTCTAGAGTAACGTCAAAAATCTTAGTAAAATTCACTTCCGGTCGCGTGTTTTTCCTGTCCTCAAAATGAAAAGTTATCTCAGCGAGATCTCGGAAACGGCATAAGATTAAGACACCAAACTTAAATGAGTGATAGACCTTGAGGAGTAGGCAAAACACATAGGGTTAGACGCGTCAGCCGTCACTTCCGGTCGTCACAGGAAGTGATCAAAAAATCGAAAATTTCAACTTTTCTTTATAAAATTAAAGCTTGCATCACTTCTTTGCATCTCTTTCGTGTTTTGAAATATGTTAGATTCCACCGGAAACAAAACTGTAAACTTCCGGTTTATTGAGATAAACTACGTTATTTCGATGTTTAGCTTTCTCATAAATATCACTTACAGATAAGTATTTGAAATTTTTTTTTTATACATATGCTGTAGATACTAAAAAATGTCATGAGAAAATTCAGAGATTTTTATTCAATTCACTTGCGGTCGTGTGTTTTCCTGTCCTCAAAATTAGAATGTGTTCTCACAATTACTCGCTAAGAGTAAAAGACTGAAGTCTAAAACTTTCAGGACTTATAGTCAGTCATCAGTTCATTTGCATCGTGTAAAAATCGTCTGTCGTCATTACTTCCGGTCGTGACAGGAAATGAAGCAAAAAGTATTTTTTTTAAGTTATTTTGTTTCTACATCAGTTTTAGGCTTATACCGACGTTGGAAAAGACATGTTCATGCAAACAGGAAGTAGTATAACGGAAGACCTTCTCATTACTAGTAATGAGTTTCTAGTTATTATTATTATTCTTTTTTATTCTTATTTCTTCTCCGGTACTGTTTGTTCCGCGAGTGTTCTCGGAAACTGCTCATCCATTTGACTTAAAACCTTTTTAGGGTTAATAGGCATGTTGTGTAGATGTGCTCTTCGAAGGTCATTTTGCGCGCACATGCATGCACGTGCGGGCGCGTGCAATGAGTGAAATGATTGACATACTTCATATAGCCGTAACTTTTACATTTTTTGATGAAATGCTTTGAAACTCATAACATATGGATATATTAGTAGAGTAAACAAGATGACATGGTCAAATTATCATGAACTCACGCGCATGCACGTGCGCTTCGCTCTGATTGGCTGAAACAAAAGTCTAAATATCTTTCTTGGTTTCCAACAAAATTCTTTGAAATTTAAAACATAGTCATTAGGAGGTTCTACAATATAGTATATAAGAATTATCATGAAAACATGCGTATGCGCGTGTGCTGCAATCTGATTGGCTTAAATTTTAAATGGCTATAACTTTTTTGGTTCTCAACAAAACAAGGTGAAATTTAGAATATAAATAGGTATAATGGATTCCTACATTATGTTACTATCAACATTTAATGCAAGAACATGCATGCACGTGCGCGCGCGTGCAATACGTAAAATGACCAATATATTTGATATAACCGTAACTTTTAAATTTTTGATGAGATGCTTTGAAACTAAAGATAATAGAAATATATTTTAAAGTGTAGACAAGAAGATATGGTCATCATGCATATGCATGCACGTGCGCGCGCGTGCAATGCTAAAATGACCAATATATTTTATACTTTTTGATGAAATTCTTTGATATTCAGTTTTATAAAATATATTTATAGTGTAGACAAGATGACATGGTTATCATGAACATGTATGCACGTGCGCGCGCGTGCAATGCTTAAATGACCAATATACTTGATATAGCCGTAACTTTTACATTTTTTGATGAAATGTTTTGATACTAAGAATATAGAAATATATTAATCTAGTAGACAAGATGATATGGTAAACATGCACATGCATGCATATGTGCGTGCGTGTTATGCGTAAAACGATTAATTTACTTGATTGTCTTATTTAATGCAGCTTACGGGAAATAAGACACCAAAATTGAGTTGGGGAGCGTTTGGGGAACATCTGTAACGGTCCCCGTTACAATTATAACTAGTTCAAAATGCTCTCAAAAATGTCTCTGAATTATCAAAATAATGTATATTTACCCATTCAAATCTTCAAAGTTCATCACAAAAGATAATCATATTGTATAGTGAAAATTATTAAATCTCAAATATATTTACTGCAAATGCGAATCAAAGTACCTGCTATGCATTTTCTAATTGACAATTGATCAACAAATATATTTTACTATAAAAGAAGATGTGTTTGTAAAACACTGATGTCCCCGTATGGCAGCTTATGCCGAAGGTTAAAGTTTCTCAAATGCAAGTCAAAATCCAGGCCAAAAGATAAAAAATGATTAATTTGAAAGCCCTAGCTGCAACTGTTCAAAAGTTATGGCAAAGGTTAAAGTTTTTTAAAAGAAAGTAAAACATCAAGGTCAAGGTCAAAGTTCTTGGTATCCAAAGGAAGGTCTTGTCAGAAGGATTACATCTGTAAAGTAAGAAAGCTCCAGCACCAACCATTCGAAAGTTATGGTCAAGGTTAAAGTTTTTCAAAAGTAGATCAAACTCCTATGTCAAGGTCAAAGTATCAAAGTGGTTGGTATACAAAGGAAGGTGGTGTTACAAGGATTACATATGTGACGTATGAAAGCCCTAGCATCAACCATTCAAAAGTTATGGCCAAGATTAAAGTTTTCCAAAAGTAGGTCACACTCCTAGGTCAAGGTGAAAGGGTCAAAGAGGTTGATATCCAAGGGAAGGTTTTGTCACAAGGAATACACATGTGAAGTTTGAAACCCCAAGCATCAATTGTTTAAAAGTAATGGCCAAGCTTAGATTTTTTCAAAAGTAGGTCAAACTCCAGGGTCAAGGTCGAAGGGTCAAAGTTGTTGGTATCCAAAGGAAGACCTTGTCACAAAGAATACACATGTGAAGTTTGAAACCACAAGCACCAACTGTTCAGAAGTTATGGCCAAGGTTAAAGTCTCATAAAATTTTGCAAAAGTGGGTCAAACTCCAAGGTCAAGGTCAAAGGGTCATATATGATGGTACCCAAAGAAAGGTCTTGTCACAAGGAATACACATCTGAAATATGAAAGTCATAGCTCCAACCAATCAAAAGTTATGGGCAAGGTTAAAGTTGACAACAGACAGACAAACAGATAAACAGACAAACAGATAGACAGGACAAAAACAATATACCCCCGGGATCTTTCGATCCGGGGGCATAACAATTGTAGGGAGAAAATTACGTTGTTTAGCTATCTGTCAGCAAAAACTTTAACCTTGCCCATAACCTTTGATTGGTTGGAGCTTTGACTTTCATATTTCACATGTGTATTCCTTGTGGCAAGACCTTTCTTTGGGTACCATATAATTTGACCTTTTGACTTTGACCTTGGAGTTTGACCCACTTTTGCTATTTTTTTTCAGACTTTAACCTTGGCCATAACTTTTGAATAGTTGCTGCTAGGGCTTTCAAACTTTACATGTGTATACCTTGTGACAGGACCTTTCTTTGGATACCAACAACTTTGACCCTATTGACCTTGACCTTGGAGTTTGACCTACTTTTGAAAAAACCTTTACCTTGGCCATAACTTTTGAACAGTTGATGCTAGGGCTTTCATACTTCACATTTGTGATCCTTGTGACAAGACTTTTCTTTGGAAACCAACAACTTTGATCCTTTGACCTTGGCCTTGGAGTTTGACCTACTTTTGCAAAATTTTAACCGTGGCCATTACTTTTGAAAAGTTGGTGCCAGGGCTTTCATACTTCACACATGTACATGTAATCCTTGTGACAAGACCTTACTTTGGATACCATCATATTTGACCTTGAGTTTGACCCACTTTTGCAAAAATTTTTGAGACTTTAACCTTGGCCATAACTTTTGAACAGTTGGTGCTTGGGGTTTCAAACTTAACATGTGTATTCTTTGTGACAAGACCTTCCTTTGGATACCAACAACTTTGAACTTTTGACCTTGACTTTGAAGTTTGATCTACTTTTGCAAATCTTTAACCTTTGCCATTACTTTTGAATAATTGGTGCTAGGGTTTTCATACTTCATAAATGTATCCTTGTGAGAAGATCTTCCTTTGGATACCAACAACTTTGACCCTTTGATCTTGGAATTTGACTTACTTTTGAAAGACTTTAACCTTGGCCATAACGTTTGAACAGTTGATGCTAGGGCTTTCATATTTCACATGCGTACTTCTTGTTAGAAGGCATTTCCTTGGGCTCCATTAATTTTGACCATTTGAACTTGACCTTGATGCTTGACTTATACTTTTGAAAAACGTTAAACTTTTTCATATCTATTCAATGGTTGCTGCTAGGGTTTTCATATCTCACAGGTATATTCCTCGAGACAAGACCTTATTTTGGGTACCAACATATTTGACTTGCATTTGAGAAAGTTTAATCTTTGTTATGAGATGCCATACGGGGGCATCAGTGTTTCGCAAACACATCTCGTTTGTTATAAAATACATAGTGTGAAACGTTTGTACTAATCATAGCAAGACATCGCATACCACTTCTAATTTCATATCATGCTAATAAAATTGGTATCTAAGGCTAGATTTTAAGGAAATTCGATTTCTATAAAATATATATTTATTTTTGTTACCTTTTGTGGTACAAATATAAAATATTTAGAAGACCGTTTCTAAGACTTCAAAAAAATCTTGAATTATACTGAGATGCACAAAATGAAAATTATTGCACAAAAAGATTTCAATTTCAGGATTAATTTTGAGACTTTTTTAAATTAGTTTATAATTTAAAGAGTTATCCTTCCTGGATGAACCGAGGATCGGCTATCCTTAAGTGAAATTATCGTTATATGAATACAAATATGCTTGTACATATAATTATATCAATATAAGTACCATGCAGTACTGGAAAAAAAACATATGTTTATATTGAGTAAATATACTTTGAAAGGAGTGTGTCCGCCCCTGACTCAAACTCGTCTTTAGTGATCCATTTTTCCGAAAACAGTTTTTCAGAAACGATCTTACATCCACCCTTCCACGCAGACAAGGTACAATCATCAAGACGAATAATTTCTACGTTTGCTTCAGCCTGTTGTTCTATTTCTTTTTTCAGTCTCTCAGAAAACCCACGAAGCAGAGTGGATCCCCCTGTAAGTACGATATTTGCAAATAAAGTCTTCTGTATGCCGCTATCGCATTTCCTTACGGTGTCAAGGATAACTTTGTCTATGCTGTATTCTTGGAAAAGTACTTCAGGGCATCGAAATGCTTCCAGACCAATTTCAATTCGTTGCCCATCAGATAGATCGTGCGATTTAGGAGTGAAGCTCTTTATTTCTTCTTGAGGATCAAGTGCTACGTAACAATATTTTTCTTTTATCTCTTTCGCAAGAATGTATGATGGCCTGAAACCAGCCTGTTCTAACGTTTTCTTCAGCTTTTCTGTAAGTGCCTTTCCATTGTTATCCCATTTTTGGACAAATTGTTTTATTACAGAATTTTCATAGATTGGAACGACGTGAGATGTGCCCTCCCCAAAATTGATTACTACGCCTGTCGATCGACCGGAAGCAAAAAGGGAAAGAACGGCCTGATTGGCAAGCAAAACGGCAGCAGGAGAATATTTATTGAAAAACTTTTCCAATAATTGTTTTCTGTTTACTTCGTCCGGATCCGCAGTCATGAGAATTCTTTTGTCTGAGAGCTTTATTCTTTTAAATGCGTGATCCCAGACAAGTTCCATATCATCCCAGTTTGTGATACGCCCATTTTCTATCGGAAAACGCAAGTTGCATGTCTGAAGAGATTTTTCCGCGTCATATCCAATGGAGGTTGTTCTTTGCCTTTTATCTATTGTGGGTTCTAAACTCTGAAAAGGCATGGGAATATATCTTTAAGGTATTCAATGTATAAAGAAGGGATTTTGAACAATTTTGAATCGTTTTAAACTAGTTAGAAATAGATTGCTAGATAACGATGAAAGTGAAATGAGCCAAATTCACATAACTGATAACTAATAAGAAGCTGATCATTTTGCACTTGAAAAGTTTTTGAAGAGTTATCTGCCCTTGATGGAAAGAAGAAAATTTTAATTTTGTCAAAATATCTGTGGTAAATGATTCATTTTATTTCATATTTTAATAAAAAGAGCGTCTATGCATATTTTCATCAAGAGATTTGTATGAAATTCACAATACTTTTTACAATGTCTTGATAAAACATGCGCTGAACATAGACGTCGATGTGAAATTTAAGGTGCAATTAATTTGAGAGTAATTAAAATTTCGTAAATTCCTTTGGTGGGGTATGTTTATTTCATAACACCTTCAAAATGTTACCATGATTACATGTAATCATTTGGACCATTCATTTATTAGGTACAAAATATGGTCGTTATACATTGAATACCTTAAAAAACACCATACTATAACGTCATAATTATTTTTTAAGGATAGTCTATGTCATCAATAGTTTTGATACAAGAGATTACTTTGTTGGTAATGGTGAAAAGCCGAAAACTGCCCAATATGTCAGATATTAGACGGTCGAAGACACATTGGTCTTACACACGACAAAATCTTGTTTTTTTTTTAATTTACGTAAAAAAGCAAACTCTAGCGAATAGGATCTTGAAAAAAAGTACCCAGATAAAAAATATCTTTCTAAAAAACAATTTTTTTCGAATAATGTCCAAATTGTAGCAACATATGGGTTTTCAGAGACAAAATAAGGCTGGTGAAGGTGAAACGTGACAGCCATTTGGAAGATATAAAATTATGTAAAATCAAAATTAACCACTTCTGATGCCCATGTCTTAAAAAAGCCAGACTTAAGAATAGATAATCACGCTTTATTTAAATTGTCATACTGATGAAATTGTATGGTTATGATCTCTATAATTTTGCAAAAGTTCCTTGCATACACACTTCTATCATAACTATTCGAAAATCGCAAAGTCTGAAACACCTTGTACTATATTAAACCTTCTTTAATTGCGAAGGGGATTGTCTTGAGGGTGGGATATGGTATTCATATGAAAAAAAGGTGAAGATAACGATCTCATAAAAACTTTAAACAATACAAATCTGTGAACAGGGCATAAACACGGACCTCTGGAAACTCCAGAGGTGGGCTCAGGTGCCTAGGAGGAGTAAGCATCCCCTGCTTACTCGTTGCAAGAATGTAAAACAATAATGAATCATATACTGATATTTTTTTTTTTTTATTTCAAAAATATTGTACATGTAGAAGAAAGCATTGTCGGTGTTCAAGATTTTTTAAATGATTATTTTTTTCGCAAATACAAAAAAATGTACTTTTTGCGGCGATTGACGATTACATGCACACTTTGAAAATAATGCTTTAAACTTAAACAGTTAAAATGAAATCAATCTCAAATACTTTGGGGGGGGGGGGGGGGGGGGGAGAGGGTTCTCTTAGTTTTGTCAACCAAAACACGTATATGACGCTTGATTAGACTATTTGCTACGATCTATCTAACGCTGACAATTTAGGAATTGGAGAATTATTCATATTTAACGATCTAATTTTATATAGTGAAAAATCAGTAGAGGTATATTAATATAATACCCAGGCACATGTGCGTTAGATCGGCTAACAGCACAATTTAACATACTCAGTTTTCCAGTTTTCCAGACCGATGACAACACATTTTACTATTCTCAGTAATGCAAGAAAACCTACTTTTAAAAAAATCAAACTCTTGCCGACTTAGTCGAATTTTACCTATAAATTGTGAAAGTCTTGGTTTACATTTTATAAGGGGCACTTCTAATCTTAAGATAACCGGCTCTATCGTTGAAGAAAGAATGAAGAATACCGCTTTTTAAATAATTAAATTGTAACTGTCCAACCATTTGTGATTTTTCATATCTTCGCCGTCGTAATTTACTGTATACATAAATAAAAAAAAATACAAATAGAACAATAGAACATAAATAAAAAGACAAAAAAATTAGTTATGGAGTTTTCACTTCATACATTGAACATTATGTGTCGGTTTTCAGGAAGACACCCATCCCCTACCGGATACCGACCTGCTGCATGGGACCTCGGCAGTACCAAGACCCCTTGGCTTATAACCCCCCCCCCCCCATTTCTAACGCAAAAACCTGCATCCGCACCTATGTGGTTTGACGTCCTTTCGTTTTAATAAGTGACGAAATAATCCAATATGTATCATGTTTACATCGATTTTTATTCAAATTCTATGCAAAAAACGAAATCTCAAGAAGTATTTCATAAATGTTTATCAAACATTGCTAGTGCGCTGAAATATTACATTTGTTAACTGAAATGGTTGCTAAAGAGTTTGTTTATGCAGTGTTACGGACGCAATGGCATCTCTTTTCTGTGACACCTATCGGGATGAACTTTAACTAAGGGACATAACTGAAAAAAAAGTTTTGTATAATTGGTGTTGGGGTAGACATTTTTAGATCACCAAAACTCGAAGTTCAAGTGTGCTTTTCTGATCACATTTTGTCTGACCGTCCTTCTGTCTGTAAACTTTTTACAATTTCAGCTTCTTCTCAAGAACTACTGGGTCAACTTCTAGCAAACTTGCTAAAAAGCATCTTCGGATAAAGGGGATTTAAGTTTGGACCATGCCCTCTTTCAAGGGAAGTAGTTAAGAATGAGTGAAAATTTATTGACATCTTTTAAAAATCTTCTCAAGAACCACTGTGTCAGAAAAGTTTAAACTTACGTGAAAGCTTCATTATGAAGAGAAGCATCCTCAGGTAGCGCAGATTCAAGTACCTTCAAATCAAACCGGGTCTAGGGTGGGCCCACAATATGCGATCAAAGTTTTACAAAGGAATACATGTATATAGGAAAATTCTTTAAAAATTACCTTCTCAAAAACAGGAAAGCAATGATCAGTCATATTTATATGGATTGATTGATTATTATTGTTAAACGCCTAGTCGGTGATATTTCAGCCATATTTCGGCGATCAAATTAATTGTATATGACCATTGTTGAAGTTTTTGGTTTCTCTGGCCATATTTATACGGAGCATTGTCGTGCGACATGTTCTGATGGACGACAATATGCGATGTGAGAGTAGATATACATTGTCGCCGGCGACAAAATGAACAGGACGACAAAATGTACCTTCATATCACGCTGCATGAAATAGTATGCGCGACACGTCAGCGTGATTCATACTCCAATTACATTCACAAAACTACCAAAAACAACGAAAAGACATCTTTAAGCAACAATATGTGTGGGGCGACAATATGTGTAGTAAGGGCGAGGCACATAATGTCGCCAGCGACAATATGTACATGTGTTACTTTTCAGCCGGCGACAATATATACCGATCGACGACAATATGTGGGTATGTACATATTGTCGTCGACAACAATATGTACAAAACGACAATATGTACCGTCACATACCCTTTCACACTGTGTCAGAATATCACTTTTATTCAGTAAATAAATTACAGTATTTCACTGTTGAAAATGTAATAAATTGCAGTTTTTCTACGTCAGAACCTTACCCTTACTTAGGAATTAGTGAGAAATGAAGAATTTATATACTGGTAGATGTCAAAGAAGAAAAATTATACCTTTTTAAGTTCACCGACCATACTTGGAAAGTTTACTTTTGGATCACTTTCCCCTGAAAACCCAGCTCTAAACATGCAAGAACCACCATCAACAATCACAATCTCTTCTGTATCACTCATTCTCTTGCGGTAAAAATTACTATTTACAAGTGGAAGGCGTGGAAATTAGAATTAGTACTGATATTAGTACATTTAGATATGTAGATATTAGTTATATAGATAAAACTCGAATGCTCTTTTTACATCTGCACTTGTATGGAGCGTTCGATCTGTCATTAAGATTTTAATTTATTTTCACTCTAAAACAAGTGTGTAAATAGTACAAATTAAAAAAAAGGGAGAAATTTCATTTGTTGCAAAATTCACAATCTAGGTGTTCTTTCCTTTGAAGACCTATGTCATGGGCCCACACTAATGTGGGGAAGGATCTTCTTCGTACCGACGCTATTTTCCCATAAAGTGTTGCAGATAATTAAAGGGACGTATAATTATACCAACAGTCATCAAAATATGATAGATTTTTTGTTTTTTAAGTAGGGATTCCCTACTGTTCTGAAAAAAACCTGCCTCCTTAAATTGAATGAATTTGATAACTGCCTCCTTCAAATTGAATGAATTTGATATGATAATAGATATGAACAATTTTCTTCAAAACAATTGTCATATTCGATTTTTGTTTCACAGAGGCATACTTTTAAAAATCCTAAAAAAGAAGAAGAAAGAATATCCCTCCAAAATGCCAGGGGCCCGTTTTACAAAAGAACTTACGACTAAGACCAAAAATTAATTCTGCTAATAACTTTTTGATTTACATTAAATAGAAGATGGTGATAATATTTTTAAAAGGTGTGCATGTAGAAATATATTTTTAAGTTAGGAATTTTAAACAGAATAATTAAATTTGTAAAATTTTACAATCAACTGAAGTTTTTGATCTTAGTCGTAAATTCTTTTGTAAAAACGGGCCCCAGATCTGCAGGTTGATTGGTCTAATAGTTAAGCAGGATGACCATATACCGCGTACGTCTTTTTTAAATGGAATTTATTTCACGAGTGGGACAGGATTTTTTGATATTTTCACGAGTGCGAAGCACGAGTGAAAATTTTTTGACAGGATTTTTTGATATTTTCACGAGTGCGAAGCACGAGTGAAAATATCAAAAAATCCTGTCTCACGAGTGAAATAAATTCCATATTCATCTACAAAACATTGAATTTTCTGTTTATTACATTTTCTTTGATTTTCCCTTCGCCTCTGTCTTTTCTTAACACAGTGTCAT